TATATATATATATATATATATATATATATATATATATATATATATATATATATATATATACACACATTAACTCTCCCAGCTTATGGACTGGTAGGACTCAGTGAGGAAGGCAAACCCCCCTCATCCCCAAAGAGCCTCTCCCTCTGTTCAGCTGTATTGACAGTGAATAAAACATTAAAGCGAAGGGTGAAGCTCATAGCTACTCAAAGCCCTAAATGTATTTGCTCCCAAAATGTCAGCAATAATTCAGCACCTCCAAATGTGACCTATCTGGGAGATTCCCACAGTCTTGCCAATTCAAGTGTAGGCCTTGCAGTGGAAACCCGACGTGACACATTTCAAGACATTCTGCAGATAAAACTGACAAAATGAACCATCTTGGTTCCATTTCTATCGCCAACATGCTTTGTACAAAGTTCAGTTATCATATTCAAACATAGACTAACATCCTTCCTAGACGTTACAGCCAAAAATGAACATAATAATAATAAAAATAAAATTAAAATCAGTGGTTTCTGAACACCACATCGGGTTTTAGGTCCATCAGATTTTAAATTCTGTTTAGAAAATATATGAATGAAGCAATAGTAGATATGTGAAAAGGAAATAGCAGGAGAGAAACACAAGCATCTCTCCAAATATCCACACTGTGCAAAATCAGTCCAGCTGTAATGTCATTTTAAAGAGAGGAATAGTAGCAGTCAAACGTTCACTATTCTGTGTGTAAAAGTGTACAATACCACCATCACACCCAAGCTATCATCGAGCCTGTGGCTAAATATTGGATTACAAATGGGAAGAAGTTATTTAAGTTCTATAGTTATCAGTATGTCACATGTTTTCTATGGGTTGAGGGTTTGGGCCATTCAACAGTTTTAATGAAAATCCTGCTTTTTGTTATTCTAAACCCAGTTTTCAGGTTTAGGCGTGCTTGTATACTGGAACATCCAGTTAAACCAGAGATCTAACCTTTCACAAAATGAAAGTTGGTCCAAAAAAACCCCACATATTCAATCAATCGAACAATCAATCTTTAGGTTTCTTCCTGTTCAAAGGGAGTTTTCCTCTCCACTGTCACTACAAGCATGCTTAGCGTGAATATTGCTGCAAAGTAAATGTCAAAATGCAGACAAAATTCATTGCCATAAACTCCTTCAGACGGAGGAAGTCTCTGTAAAAGGCCTTTAGATGATGTGAATTGGTGCTACATAAATGAACTGACTTGCAGCAGCAGCTCCTGCTTTCATCACAGCTTTATGTCACACCTGAAAACATAATACTTCAACATGATTGGCCGAATCATTTTGGGGAGTTTAAGAGGGAAAAGATGGATTCTTGATAGTTGTGGATCCACAAATACGGCAGGAATTCAGCCTGCAGACAGGGTTACCTACATTTGGGTGCTTGATTAGATTTACAGTCATTTTCTTTTTCTAATGTGGTTTCAAGTAGAAACTAATTGTATAAAAAATGTCTGTTAAAAAGGTTTAATTGTGTAGTGCTCTATCACAAGCTTACTGATGGAGATAGAATAGATAAAATCCACATTTAATTATAATTTTGAGAACAATTTCTATTTTTAAAATGAATAAAAAATGGCCGCCGTATAATTGTTTTATTTTGAAGAGGAAAACGTTTCTTTAAATCCCTAAAATCCACGTCCTTCCATTTTTCAGAACAATAAAGACTGCATGTTGTGTTTGCACTGATACCGATCCAATAAGTGCTTTACACATAATCAAGATCTGCTGCGTTATTTTGTTTCCAAAGATCCATTTTTTCTTGTTATTTATCTTCCTATATGGCTGTATTGTCTTTGTAGACAGTGAGTTATCTTCCGCTGTTGTAATGCAGAGATTATTTGTTCATCGATCACGAAACGCCATCTCTCATATCACATATTTATTTCATGATTTCTCTGAAAGATGCAGAGTTTCAGCCGAGCTCAGTTCTTCTCCCGCTCTTGTTTACCACGCTGATGCACATTTAATGAAATACATGAATTTTCACAATGCGTAACATTCCTCAGCTGAATAACAGCAACTGCTTTATTTTCTGATTGCTCTGGAACCTGTTAAAACCTTAAAATAAAATAAAAATTCTGAGAAAATGTATTATTTTTAAGTTTAATCTCCGTCATAATCAACTTCAAGTCATCTCATCTGGATTATAACGTTTGATGAGATGAAAAAAAGGTCCAAAGGAAATGCATTTGTGTGTTTAGCTAGCAGTGTAGCATAGTCTAAACTAATGGATGTGGAAAATTGAAGTTATTTTTACTTCAACCGCCGCAGAGTATTGAAAATTACACGCTGAGGGACAAACGGACTAAACATTTTTGGAGCACTACGGCGCTCTGTGCCGCTGTAATCCACAAGGAGCTTTAAAGTGGTGCTTCAGTTTTTAGCAGAGTCTCTGCATCATCAGTAACTGGAAGTCCTTTGAGTCCATCCAGGAACCCCTTTGCTTTCACAGTTTCGGCCGTAGATGTTTTTATGTGTTACTTTTTTCTTTTAGGAGGAAAAAAAGGAAAGAAAAGAACCTGCTGTGCACACATGGAGCCACGAGCCTCCTTTCACTTTGTGTTTGAGGTGCTGAATCAGTTTTAGCTTTCAGACGAGGATAATTTGGTTTCTTAGACGAGCTTTATTAGGTATTTATCAATAGTGAGTCTATTGCCCACAGCAAATAACAACCAGCTCTTCTCTGATGCGAAGAGACAGATGGAATAACAATGTGTTGCAGCG